GCCTGCGCCCTCCACCCTGTGCCCGGGCCACCCTCACGCCCACCGGAAGCTACCGGCACCATGATGGCTGGGACGACGGTCTTCCCCGGGGACACCCGCTCAGCTGAGCGCGGCGGTACTCACGGTTGTAGCTGCTGTGCTTCCTCACCAGGACACGAGCCGAGCGAGCCCTGTGGGGTGAGCGGGGAGGGGTCCCTGGCCCAGGGACCGCATTCCCAGGCCTCTCCCAGAAGCGACGCTGGCGCGGCAGGTGCACAGACCGAGCGCATAGAAGATTCCAGAAGGTGGACGCTGCGTGCACGCTGCGGACCAACGACGACGTATCGCACGCTCCCAGAACGCGAGTCCACTGGCCAGCCAGGCGAGCGCTTGGGGGACGGCGTGCGTGAGGAGGGTACGTGGGAGCAGCGTGTGTTGGGATTGGTGTGTAGAAGGCCTCGTGCGAGAGGAGCGTGCGTGGGAGCTGCGTACGTGCCTGGGGGACGTGCCTGGGGGACGTCGTGCGTGAGGAGCGTGCCTGGGAGCACGTGCCTGCAGAGCAAGCATTGCGGAGCTGCGTGCCTGGGAGGCGGCGGGCTTGTGGAACGTGGCGTGCGTGCGAAGCGTAGTGCGTTGGGGTTGGTGTGCGCGCAGAGCACACGGAAGTGGGGGGTGGGTGTGCAGACAGTGCACGGGTTCCAGGAGGCGCACGCTGCACACATGCTCTGGACTCCCCGAGCGCGCATGCGTGGGGGGCGGCCTGTGTTGGGGGATGCGCGCGCAGAGCGGGGTGGGCGGCTTGGTGACCTCTGCTCGCCTGCAGGAGACCATACGTCCTGCTTTTGCTGCCCAGGCTTGGCCCAAGTGCACCGTGGGAACTTTGTATACCATGTTCTATTGTGTGTGACTCTCAAACTGTTTCCAAAAATGAAAGTGTCTTGCGCAGGACTTCGAATAAGAAGAGACGGATCTTGGGGTGGGCGGAGCCGTCGCCACACACCCCGGATCTATGGGGAAGATGTTGTCATCGCGGGCATCTGGCTTCCTGAGTGGGTTGCGAGGAGGAAACTGTGCACCAGGTGGTGTGGAGAACCGGAGGGTCAGAGCGGTACGTCTCCCCGCCCATCCTGGGGGCACGGCGGGCAGTGGGAGAGCTTGGGTCAGCCCAGGCCCCCCTTCTTTCTTTAACTGTAAAACGGAAGCCGGGACCCCGGTCTGGGCCAAAGGGACGCTATGATCACAGGATTCCTGTCCCTGCTTTGCCTCGGTGAGTCTCCAGGACCGGGAGGGATGTGGTTGGATCTGTGAGAAAATTCCTGGTGGAGAAGGGGGAGGGAGGGGTAGAGGAGGGTATCATGGGAAACATGGCAAACACAGAAATGATGGCTGACGTCTGCGTATGGGATACAGGCCACCGGTCGGAGTTTTGTGGGCTGTGCACAGGCCTGCATTCTGATATTAGCACCAGCCGATGAGGAACCCCAGGTTCAGAGGCGGTGGTGACCACGCCCTCTGTTTACCCAGCTGAGAAATTCCAAGCTCAGATGGGATCTCCCAAATATGCACCCTCCAAACACCACAGCCTTGCCATGAATGCTGCATTGGCGGATAGGAGGGGCCAGGGTCCACAGGGTGTGAGAAGCTGTGAGTTTGGGCACAAAACAGGAATTCAGGGAAGAACAATGCCTGGGGATGGTGCTTAACAAGGAAATTTCTACCCTAACCGGTTTGGCTCAGTGGATAGAGCGTCAGCCTGCGGACTCAAGGGTCCCAGGTTCGATTCCGGTCAAGGGCATGTACCTTGGTTGCGGGCACATCCCCAGTGGGGAGTGTGCAGGAGGCAGCTGATCGATGTTTCTAACTCTCTATTCCTCTCCCTTCCTCTCTGTAAAAAATCAATAAAATATATTAATTAAAAAAAAAAAGAAAGAAAATTTGTGCCCTAGCTGGTTTGGCTCAGTGGATAGAGCATCGGGCCTATGGACTGAAGGGGACTGAAGGGTCCAGGGTTCGACTCAGGTCAAGGGCAGGTACCTTGGTTGCAGGCTCCTCCCTGGCCTGGGCCCTTGGTGGGGGCTCGTGGAGGAGGCAACCAATCCATGTGTTTCTCTCACATGGATATTTCTCTCTGTCTTTTCCTCTCTCTTCTACTCTCAATCAATGAAAAAATATCCTTGGGTGAGGATTAATAAAAAATAAAGAAGAAAATTTCCTATCCTCAACCTGATTTTAATCATCTTCAACTTGAACATAATGCAAACAGCCTGCAAAAAGGAAGACCTAGATGATAACCTTGTGTTGGGCCCAGAGGAGCTCTCAACTTTGAACCAACAGCTCCACCTCTCTGAGCCCCAGCTCCTCCTTGGTGAGGAGAGGATACCAGGACTTATCTGCCCCAGTTCCTTCCTCCTTCTGGGTACAGCCCTTCCCTGTGGGGTAATACTTCTCCCCCACACACTTGAACTTCAGAGGTGGCTGTAGACACCATTCCCTGGACCTCCAGTTGCAGGACAAAATAGCTGGGCAGTCAGAGACTGACCTCATCCTCCCCATATTCAGTTCCTGTACCACAAACTCTCTCTGTGTGATTGAGGGAGAAAACCCTCTCTGACACGCCATGGTAAAAATAACCATTGAGGTATGTAAGTGGTAAGGATAAACATTGCAATCCCAGAAAATATGAGAGAAAAATGTAGGTCAGTGTTCAAGGATTTAAGAATCAAGGATTTCTAGATGGCGAAAGAAGTCCTAATCGTAAAAGCTTTGTTATAATTCCCAATGCAATCAATCCGAAAGGGTTCCTGGAAGGCTCTCCATAAACATAACTTCTGTTGAAGGACAAAGAATGGGTTGAGAATAAAAGGTAAAACAAACATACACATACACACACACACACACACACACACACACACACACACACGGAAATACTTGCAAGGGACACAGCAGATCTTTAACAAATTAGTCAAACCTGGCTGACGTGGCTCAGTGGTTGAACCAAGAGGTCATGGTTCGATTCCTGGCCAGGGCACATGCCCGGGTTGCAGGCTTGGTCCCCAGTGGGGGGCTTGCAGGAAGCAGCTGATCACTGATTCTATCTCATTATTGATATTTCTATCCCTCCCTCTCCCTTCCTCTATGAAATCAATATGCATATATATACATATTTCTTAAATTAGTTAAGCATTCTTTGCCTCATTTGTACTCCAAGACAAGCACATCATTTGTCTCATGAGGTTTTCTCTTCCAGGGCTCTGTCTGGGTTATGATGATGAGCACAAGAATGGTGAGTTGTCTTTCACATAAACTCTGTTTTTATATCCCAAGTCTCATGATTTTTTTTTTATTGTACATCTGTATAGTTTCACAAACAAGTGTGACAAATCATTGGGCATCCCGGTGTTTCTATAGCTGGACAACTTAGATCTTATTCTTCAGCCCGCTGAACTGTTCCTTTTTCAGAAACATAGATACCATCCAAAACCTTTCTGATATCCTTGTTTTTAACTGTCGTGGCTTGCTGGATCAAAGCAGCTGAATTCGACACAAGTTCAATGTCATTTCCTTCAAGAATCAACTCACCTTTCTGGGCTTGAGATGCTGGACAAGCAATGCCTGACCTCATCCAACCTCTGCAGATGTATTTTTCACCCAAGAAATTTCTAATTTCAACAAGAGAACCATTCTCCTGAATAACGACGCTGATGGGGAAGTGAGCGTACACAGACCTCATCTTGTAACGGAAGCCCGGTGTAACACCCTTGATCCTGTTCTGTGCATGACTGCAGATAGTACAAACTGTGGCCAGTTCCTTTCTGTTCCCCCACCATTTGTCAACCCGGAGCCTCTTCTTTTTCTTCCCAAGGAGACTGAGCTCTACATGGATGTGGTTGAAGTCGCTCCGCAGGGTGCCTCTGGGGCCCTTCACATTAACTGTGCGTCCCTTCAGAGTGATGTCCACATTTTCTGGGATGTCCACAGTCTGATTGCTGAGAACGGTCTTCATCCTTACAGTAGATGCGGCAAAGAGCTCATGATTTCTTTTTTAAATATTTTTTTTTCAGTTACAGTTGACATATAATATTACATTAGTTTCAGGTGTACAGCATAGTGATTAGACATTTATATACCTTATGAAGTGACCCCCCCTCCCCCCGATAAGTCTAGTCCCCACCTGGTGCCATTCATAGTTATGACAGTACTAGAGGCCCGGTGCATGAAATTTGTGCACAGTGTGTGTGTGTGTGGGGGGGGGTGTCCCTCAGCCTGACCTGCACCCTCTCCAACCCGGGACCCCTTGGGGGACATTCCTCTCACAATCCAGGACCACTGGCTCCTAACCATTCACCTGCCTGCCTGCCTGATCTCCCCTAACCACTCTGCCTGCCTGCCTGATCGCCCCTAACCGCTTGCTGGGTGGTGGGGCCAGCCCAGCGAGGAGCCGTGGTGGTTCTGGTCTAACGGTCGTTATGGTTGTGACACCGTTACAGTCTCTGGCCTTTTATTATATAGGATTACTGGCTATATTCCCTGTGCTGTACTCTGCATCCCGGTGACTGTTTTGTGACTGCCAGTTTGTACTTCTTAATCCCTTCATCTTTTTCACCCAGTCCCCCAACACCCTCCCCTCTGACAGCTGTCAGTCTGTTCTCTGAATCTATGAGTTTGTTTCTCTTCTGTTTGTTCATTTATTTTGTCTTTAGAGTCTACATATAAGTGAAATCCTAAGGTATTTGTCTTTCTCTGTCTGCTTATTTCACTTAGCGTAATACCCTCCAGGCCCACCCATGTTGTTGCAAATGGCAAGTTCTCATTCTTTTTCTTATGGCTGAGTCATATGACCTTTTCCCTTTAATCCTCTGAATTCCAAGAGAGTGTTCATGGTCATCAAGATAAAGAGTCAAGCCCTCGTGTGGCTCCGTTGGTTGTATGTCATCCCTGCACCAGAGGGTTGCTGGTTGGATTCCCAGTCAGGACACCTGCCCAGGTTGTGGGCTCGATCCCCGGTGGGGGGTGTGCAGGAGGCAGCCGATCCATGTTGTGCTCTCACATTGATGTTTCTCTCCTTCTCTCTCTAGGAATCAATGAGCTATTCTTAAAAAAAGAAAGAAATGAGAGTCAAATAAAATATATGATTGTCTCACCACATGCTGTACACCTGAAACGAATCTAAAATATTGAATGTAAACTGTAATTGAAAAATAAAATTAAAATAGAAAAGATAAACAGTCTAACGAATGCTGGATTCTTTCCAGACACCCTCCCCAGGCCCTCCCTCCACGCCTCGCCGGGCTCCATGGTTGGACGCGGTGGTAACGTGACCCTGAAGTGCCAGGGTCACTTGCAGAATGTGACGTTCATGCTGGGGAAGTGGCAGGACCCTGGGTACAGGCGGGAGCAGAGCTCAGCGGGACTCGATGCTGAATTCCTCCTCACGCACCTGCAGCCTGAACATGCCGGGATGTACTTTTGTGCCTACAAGACCACGGGCTCCCACGGGTGGTCGGAGAAGAGCGAGCACCTGCACCTGCAGGTCACAGGTGAGCAGGCAGCCTTGGCTTTTCTCCTGGGAGCACAGGTTCCTTGTCCTGTGATGGGACCCGGCAGGGAAGAAGGAATCCAGGAAACAGACAGGTGCCACCCCTCAAGTGTAGGGAAATGGGGACTGGTTGTGGGGACAAGACTGTCATCAGGGCTCTGAGTAGGTCTTAACGATGTGGATGTGGGGCAGTGTTTTATTTTTATTTTTTAATGTTTAGTTATTTATTTGAGAGAGAGACGGGGAGAAACGTTGATTTGTTGTTCCACTTATTTATGCATTCATTGGTTGATTTTTTTTTTTCCCTCTGGCACCCGGGACCAGGGCTCCCCTTGTAGCCCCAGCTTCATCCGGAAGGTCGTCTGGAAGGATGTCCGGTCTAATTAGCATGTTTCTCTCTGATTTCAGATAGAAGGGGAGAGAGAGAAAGAGAGATAGATAGAAGCATAAATGATGAGGTAGAATCATCAATTAGCTGCCTCCTGCACACCCACACTGGGGATGTGCCCACAATCGGCATATTTCCCACCCAGGAATCAAACCATGACCTCCTAGGCCAGGGATGGGGAACCTTTTGAGCTCGGCGTGTCAGCATTTTGAAAAACCCTAACTTAACTCTGGTGCCGTGTCACATATAGAAATGTTTTGATATTTGCAACCATAGTAAAACAAAGACATATTTTTGATGTTTACTTTATATATTTAAATGCCGTTTAACAAAGAAAAATCAACCAAAAAATGAGTTTGCGTGTCACCTCTGACACACGTGTCATAGGTTCGCCATCACTCTCCTAGTTCATAGGCTGACACTCAACCACTGAGCCACGCTGGCCGGGCCAGGGTCTGCCTTCTTTCATGTCCTTGCAAAGATGAGCCCCAAACGCTGACCTTCAAATAGGTCCTGTCCTTGATCTGGGCTGTGGGCTGCCTTATCTCCAGGGCCTGTCCTCCCTCAGTTTCCAAGAGTCTGTGAGAAGATCTCTTCTTTATAGTGAGTGGCTATTAAACAGCTGTGATTCTATTTCTCTTATGTGCCTCTCCCCTATCAGGATCACTCCTGCACTCTCCCTTCTTCAACATAAAGCCTGGGATGACTCCATGTCACCGTATGGCACTCTGATCCCATTCGACAGAACTGAATGTATGACTTTTGCTCTGATGAAAATGGGAATCCCAAACCATTATACGTGCCCCTCCCCTATCGGGATCACTCCTACACTCTCCCTTCTTCAACATAAAGCCTGCGATGACTCCAGGTCACCGTATGGCACTCCTATCCCATTCGACAGAACTGAATGTATTATTTTTTTTTAATATATTTTATTGATTTTCCACAGAGAGGAAGGGAGAGGGATAAAGAGCTAGAAACATCGATGAGAGAGAAACATCGATCAGCCGCCTCCTGCACACTCCCCAC